CTGGTGGTAGGAACATAACGGGGTATAATGTACTGGAGATAACCGATATATTCTGGCGGTAGGAACATAACGGGGTATAATGCGCTGGAGATAACTGATATATTCTGGCGGTAGGAACATAACGGGGTATAATGCGCTGGAGATAACTGATATATTCTGGCGGTAGGAACATAACGGGGTATAATGTACTGGAGATAACTGATATATTCTGGCGGTAGGAACATAACGGGGTATAATGCGCTGGAGATAACTGAAATATTCTGGTGGTAGGAACATAACGGGGTATAATGCGCTGGAGATAACTGAAATATTCTGGTGGTAGGAACGAGAGGCTCTGGCAGCATGGAGGACACAGTGAGGACCCCGGAAGGCAATGTGGGCATGGGGGGAGTGGAAGCTCACCTGAGGAGGTGACATTTGAGCTGGCTGTAAAGGATGAATAGGGTCAGAGCAGGCAGAGGACAGGCATTCCAAGTGAAGACAAAATAATCATCCACACATGCCAGGTTTTAAAAGCCTTTTACTTCAAAAAGGTTTAAGTGTGCAATGTCTAACATGAGGCAAAAATTACAATCTCGATTGTTTCTTCATGACTAGGCTGCTCTTCTCCCAAGGACCCTACCTGTTTAGGAAGTACAGAGAGTAAGAAGAAGAGAATGTGAAGTATCTTGGTAGATACTGAGAAAGTGAGAACGCTGCAGAAACTGTACTGAAGATGAGAAGGAGCACTGTAGGCCTGTGAGTGGGGAGGGCCAACAGTGAACTGAGAAAAAGAAAAAGCAGACCACAATAGCACCCCTTTTCAGTCTGCTTAAAACACAAGCCTTAACCTTCTTAAGAAAGATCTGGTAAAACATAGTTTGCCAAGGCCTATTAAGTACAGGGTCTGCAAGGATTATGCTCTGTGCTGGGACCTGTTGGCCAGAAGCAAGGAGAGCAAGGAGAGCCGGATCATTTTCTTTCAATAACTTAATCACACTGGTGTGTATGGGGGCAAAGGCTCAGCTGCAGGCTTCATGTTCTACTTCTTTCACAGAGGGCAAAGGAAGGGTAGAAAAGCAAGGTCCCCTGGGTGAACCTGGAGAGAGAAAAATGTTCTGAGACATCCCTTGTCTTCAGCTGGGCTCTACATAAAGACCAGGGGTGACGATGGCTCAAGTGAAGATGGCCGGAAATGGCTGGAAAGACCAAGAGGGCAGACTGTGACTGGTTTCACAGTGCCTCACTAAACCAGAATTTCAAATCCTCAAATTAGCTGGAAACATATTTCATTTACTCACATTTTACGGTATCAAGTTCATTCGTTCATATTGGCATTTAAAAAACATATGTGTGTAAGAGAGGTTAAAAAATTGAATTGTGTTCATTGTTCACTTTTCTTTGAGTCATCTACGTGCAGGGTCAAGTTACAGGAGGAATGAATTCAGGACGACAGGTCTTCGGGATTTTCTTTTATTATCTTCCATATAAAAGAAAACGTGCCACCCGCACCCCTTCCCTGGGTGTGTGGCCATGAGGCAGGGGGCAGGGGCTGCCCTGGCCTAGGGTGACCTGGGTTCTGGCTTCCAGTTCTGAGTCTGCCACTGACCTCCTATGTGAACTTGGGCTGGTCACAGTTTTCTCAGGTAAGAAGCAAGGATGTGCATTGTACTCTCTTCCTGGCTGTTTTCTGCTTCAGTGCTCTCTGATTCTACAGAACAACATTATGTTCTAAAGAAATATTTTCTTCTTTCTAGGTCTTAGGCATTTCCTTTTTTTAAGAGCCACTCTAATAACAACAATGCCCCACCTAGTGTCAAAAGAGGGAACGTGGTCCACGACTGCAGAAGAAGGAACGGCGCTCGGGTCTTTCCTGGCATGGGGGCTCTGAATGGCGACTGAAGGGCATGGCTGCTGCCCAGGTGGTTTTTGTTGAATCTCAATGACCCAACTTTGGAAAAGAGGGCATTTTAAAAAAGACTGTGTTTTACAACTTTTATGTGTGATGCACACCACCAGCACAACAGGACTGTTACCAAGGGCACATGGAACAATCTTTCCTATTATTTTTACTGGCAGCTATCGCCAAAAGCCAAAGAGCCTCCTGGGGATGAAGGTCATCAGGCAGCCCCTTGCTGTGGGGAGATAAGAGATTCTGGGTGTGACACAAGCAATTCGGCTAAGCTCTCGTTCCTCACTGAAATCTTCACAGACACAAACCTGGGAGTTGAGCAGGGTTTAATCACTTCAGCCCTCCCTTTTCATTGCTTTCCTTCTGAATGCTCCCATGAGGAAAACATCTCCAATTGGGTGATAGCTAAGCACACATTCATAGAACTTTCCAGGTTCCACAGTAGTCTGTCCCTGTTCTTCCTAAATGCCATCCCACAGGACAAGAAATCAAGGGAGGAAACAAATGTAAATACTGAGACGAATGATCACCTTCCTTCTTGTGTGTCTGTCCTGCGCCTTTTTTTCATTAAGTGCCAAGACAATTTAATTTGTATACTGACACATAAAAGTTGCCTCATTTGAAACCTGCCTCCCTCTCGGAACCCAGGTTAATTCAGCGAAATATCTGTGGAGTGACTACAGCAGCCCAGACACTGTGTTAATGATGTCTGGGCTGAGAGAACAAAATGAGCCCAGGCTCAGAAATTCTCCATCATGCTGCCAGACTTGCTCAGGGCTTTGTGGCCTAAATTACCAGAATTTTCAGTGGCAAGGATTTCCTTTTGTTTTCTTCTTAAAAGTGAGTTTCGGGCCGGGCGTGGTGGCTCCCACCTGTAATCCCAGCACTTTGGGAGGCCGAGGTGGGTGGATCACAAGGTCAAGAGATCGAGACCATCCTGGTCAACATGGTGAAACCCCGTCTCTACTAAAAATACAAAAAATTAGCTGGGCATGGTGGTGCGTGCCTGTAGTCCCAGCTACTCAGGAGGCTGAGGCAGGAGAATTGCCTGAACCCAGGAGGCGGAGGTTGCGGTGAGCCGAGATCGCGCCATTGCACTCCAGCCTGGGTAACAAGAGCAAAACTCCGTCTCAAAAAGAAAAACAAAAAACTGAGTTTCTTGATGGTGGCATATATCCCAGTGGCTCCTTATCTTCTCAGTGCTTAAATGCCAAGTGGGCTGACTGCTCTAACTCCTCATCTTCTCAGTGCTTAAATGCCAAGTGGGCTGACTGCTCTAACTCACCTACTTATTAACCTGCGTTGATCTCTCCTAAGTGGCTGCCTCTCTATACCCTCCATCACTATTCTGCCTTCTGGGCTTACCTTCTAGCCAATTACTTGGAATTCTCCCATTTATAAGCCCCATCCACCTTCTGCCCAACCTTGCCAGTTTAATCTCTTTCTACTGTGATCCGTGTCCTGAAATCAGCTTGGTTCTCACATGCCCTAAATGGCCCTTAACTCCTTCACCCCACAGTCCCATAGTCCTATTCCACCATCATCATGACCGTCTGGGGGTCGCAGTACTCTCTGACTAAAGTTTAGAATGGTAGTCTCTGGTCAGTCCTGGTGTACTAGTCAAAACTTAATCTCAATCCAGGTCTGGCGGCTGCAATAATCTGAAGTACAACTATAAACTGGTCATCAGCAACTGGGATAGCTCAAGCAGAACAGCAGCAAATGAGATTTGCCTTCAAGGGCCATGAGAACACAGTGGTCTCTTATTAGCATCAAAGAAAGAAAACATCTAGAATACTTCTTGGACACCTGGAGTAATGCCTGGTACACAATAGAAGCTCAAAAAATTGGCAACTGATAGAAAGATGTCTTTTAAATAACACATTGCAAATGTTCAGAGATATGATTGCCTATTGTAAGCTTTTCCAGATAAACTGTTTGATTCATGTGTATATCCCGAGGGCCCAGCACAGTGCTTGGCATATAATAGGCTTGATAAATATTTGTTGAACTGAAATGACTTTCTTGGGAAAAGTATGTCAATGTCACTTTGTGGAGGATATCTGCTTTCCCAGGAGTGTGAATGAGCAGGACATCTCAGGATGTCCAAACTAAAGGATCAGCTTAATTGGACCCCTCAATTTACATGCCAAGGTGTTCTTACGGCACTAGGGTATGGGAGTCTATCAGACGGACGTGGACCACAACAGGGGAGGGGTAGGAACTCTGCAGGGTAGTCTGTGCCTGACTTACATCTCCCCTCTGCTGGGATTCTCTGGACCTTTCTCTGGACCTTTGGGTTTCATCCAGGATGCAGGAGATCTTTTTGACAGCTACTCATTCATATGCAAAAGGAGAAATCTGGGTCTGGCCAAGTGTCTCCGATGTTGGAAACACACTTACAGCTCTTCTAATGGAGCCTTATAGAGCTGCCATAACAGCTGATGGCTTGCTTGGTGGTTTAGAACTTATATTTTGTACTTACTGTTGAAGCTATCAGAAATGTAGGGAACACTGAGGTCAATCAAGAGCATATGATTTTCCAAGCATATTAAACTGTGTTTGTATTCCTTTCATACAACCTATAAAACATCCATCTTTAAAATGTTCATAGCAATCAATGCCTTTAATCGAGCAGAAAAGCATACACAGATACAGAAACGTTTAGTTCTAGCTGTGCTTCCTGACGATCCTCTTCAGAGAGAAATTTCCACAATGGATGTTTCAATTAAGACAGTAATACTTATTGAAAGGTAGCCTGTAAACGTAAAGCCACTGGAAGCATTATTGAACAGAAGTAGCTCGTGCTGCAGCTGGTGCACTGCATTTCCACACTGCTTTGATTTCATCAGCATTTGTCAATTAATCAACATGAACCTTGTAAAACATGTTCTCTTACTAGTTGGAACAGGCATTGCTTGCGGACTTTGCAGGAGAGGTCATTTAATAATTTGCTAATTGTGCAAAGATAGATTTAAATTAAAAATAAAAAAGGTCAACTCTCATTACCACTGTACCTAAATAGGACTTTGTTTAAGGTTAGCCTTGCCTATTTAAAATATTGTCAATGCTTCAATTTTTTTAAAAAAAATTCAAACGGCAGAGAAAGATTAAGATGACAATCACCCTAGCTCCAGGTTTCTAAAATTTAAGAGCATTTTTGTTTGCACCTTTGCCACTTCAAAGAGTTACTAGCTTTGAGGCTCTAGTTATAAGACAAATCAACTGTATTTTATTGGCAGAAAAGTGAACAGAAAAAGAAAAAGCAAAAGAAACAGGAAACGCAGCAACAAAGAACAACACAATGGTAGAGTCCTTTTTTTTCTTTTTTGCTTCAACTCATTCGTCATTCCTCTAGATGAGATGTCAGCTCCCTACTTTTGACTGCTGGTTCATTTTCAGTTCAGTGAGAAAGAAGCTGAGTCAAGCCCTCTCTTTGGGTAATCCATGCATCAGCACACTCTCCAACTCTCCTGGCAACCGAGAACGCACTGTAACTCAGAGCGGCATCAACAAGCACTCCGCAACCATCTAAAAGGACGCGACGGAGTTTAAAACGGGTAACATACCTTGCAGAGCAATTTCTACACTGGGGTCTGCAGGGCTGAATCGAGAAATCCGCACCATCTTAGAAGTGTAAGTGAAACTTAAGATGAAATAGCATGCCTTAAGGCATTTATAAGAGTAAGAATTTTGCACAGAGTTCACAGAAGCAATGTTTGTTGAATGAAGATGGGCCTTGCCAGATACAGTCTAGGCAAAGTGCTTTGCTGCACAGCTCCTTTTATAAGAACTTAGAAGCCCAAGTTGCTCTCCGCCTGCTCAAACTGGCTTATCAATCCATTCCATTCCATTTCTGTTCTCAGTTCTAAATAAGTCATTATTTCAGGCACATTTCCCTAAGCAGACGCAAACACTGTTTTCCAGTGTGAGACTCCCTTGGGCAAATTAGGTTTCCTGGAATAGGGTCAAGGAGCAATCAAATAAAATACCTACTAGAAACAAGCAGTTTCAGGGGACATTGTGATTCCTGCAAACTACAAGTCAAATTTTAGACACTGGTGGGGCAGTAATATGGAATCTGATAGGGCCAGTTATAGGGAGAAAATCCTGTTCTCTGCAGTTTCTTTTTAAGATAATAACCAATGAGTGTATTTCTTATGGAAACAAAAGTGATGGTCATAAAACAATCAATGGAAAGTTCTCTAATATTTCCAATTAAAAGCTGTTAAATTTTAATTTCTTAACAAAACTGTAGTAAAATAACAAAAGGTCGTATCACAACCCAGTTTATTTTCACAACCTTACCTAACAAACATGAAATACTTCTAAAATAGATACTTCTTATTGCATTTTCTTCCCCTTGAGTCACAGGGAGAAATGTCCCTTTTATGTTCTTTTAATACTTGCTTTTATTAACTTTAGTTTCAGTTAGCTCACTTCCATATATCAAGATTCTTTCTACAACCGAAGAGACAAGAGGTAAATGCAGATGTGGGAAGGGAAGCTACTTGGTCACGTAATAGCTGCTCCCTGGCAGGCGCTATTTCTATCTAAAGCATACACACCATCTTCAGAAGCCACACAGAAAAGCGAAAGGCTGGAATGGCAGGTTTTAATTTGTTTTTTGACGTTTTAGAATACCGTAAATAAGTTTGTGTGTTTCAATTCATATGGGCCCATTACCTTGGAGGTCTTAATCATTTGCAAGAGCAGTTTCAGAAGTGTTCAAAGCTTGTGCTTAGGAGTATTATTGGCATTCAAAATAGTCATACGATATTAAGCAGATTTACAGCCTTCTATATAGTTATCTCTGATCATCTTTTTTTTTGAGACGGAGTTTCGCTCTTGTTACCCAGGCTGGAGTGCAATGGCGCGATCTCGGCTCACCACAACCTCCGTCTCCTGGGTTCAGGCAATTCTCCTGCCTCAGCCTCCCGAGTAGCTGGGATTACAGGCACGCGCCACCATGCTCAGCTAATTTTTTCTATCTTTAGTAGAGACGGGGTTTCACCATGTTGACCAGGATGGTCTCGATCTCTTCACCTCGTGATCCACCCGCCTCAGCCTCCCAAAGTGCTGAGATTACAGGCTTGTGCCACTGCGCCCAGCCGATCATCTTTATTTAAAAGTAAGTTCAGGCTGATGGGTGGCTTAGTATCCTCATAGATTTTGGCTTGTTACCCATCTACTGACAGAAAATCTGGCTCTGCTGGACACCCTCTCACCTCTCCAAATAAACCTCAAATTTGCAAGGTGAACTGAGGGCCAGGGGATGGCAGGAGGAGTTCAAATAAAAAAGGAGTTTACAAGGGCCGCCTTTTAAGGAAAGGTACCTGGGGCTTGGGTTTTATTCAGGTATGAGGAGGCCAACAATCAGGTGACCACTATTGAGAGGATAGTTTGTCAGAGTTCCCAAGTGGAGCAGGCATGCCAGACCACACTGGGTCACCTGGAAAGGCACCAGCATGAGTAGGGGCAGAGGAAGTGAAGGGAAAATGTGGGTAAGGGCCTTTATTTGGTTTCCATCAGAAAGGACACGCAGGACAGAGTAAGGAGCTTTAGGATTAGCTAATTTAAATAATTTCAGCAGGCTCTGCAGTATAGGGGTGGTTCCTAGTTATGCAGTATCTGGCCCTGGAGTGACTTAGGGAGGGTAAAGAGTCTTCCGCATTGCGGGAGCCTGATAAAAGAGAGCAGGTGGTGGCATGGACTCAGGGTTGGTTGGTTTGGATATCAAAGGTGAGCTCACAGGCAGGATGTTTGCTATCTCTAGGAATTAGCTGATCCTGGAAGGTTAAGAATGCCAAGTCCACAAGGCCCCAAGATGTCAAAGCATTGTAAAATATAGAAAATTTAAAAAAAACATGATTAATAGAAGCCTGTCTGAAACACTGCTGTAAGAAGCATGAAAACAGAGCTTCTCAAACTTCACTGTCCACAGGGACCACTTCAGTGTTTTGTTAAACTCCAGATTCTGATTCACGAAATCAGGTAAAGGTTGAGACTCTGCATTTCTCATGAACTTCCTGGTGATGTTGGGACCGTATTTTGAGCAGCTAGAAGTAAAATATCATGAAGGGTCTTCCCTCTGGCTTATCTTCTGTCAGGAAAGGGGAAGAACCTTGCATACTGAGACCTACCTTGGACCAGACGCTGTAAGCCATTGAATATATATGTGGTCTTGTTTTGCTTTAAGAGTAGCCTTTGCTAGGGGGAAAATTAGCCCAATTTTATAGGTAAGGGAACTCATGCTGGTTAAGTAACCTGCCCTAGGTCATTTAGTTAAAAGGTAGCAGGTAGAAATCTATCTGGCCTAAAAATCCATTTTCTTCCCCATCCCAGTGTAAGTACTGCACTGATGGAAAATAAAAAGGCTGTTGGTAAAGGTTTCATAAAATATAAAGCCCATGAACTTGAATAGCATCCATTTACAACTTTGCTTCTACAAAGAAGAGAAATTCAGAATGGTATTTATTATCTCACAATTAGAAATAGTGTTTATTAATAACTGATTTTCATGGCCTTCACAAAACACTTTAAATGGGATTCCCTATAAAACTAGTGTTTTTATTTAAAAAATGATCTACCCATGTACAATAAAAAGTCTTTCTCCTCGTCCCCTAGTTCCACTGCTCACGGATAACTACTGTGAAGTTTGTCTAGCCTTCCACAACCATTTCTATGCAAATATAAACCTTTCTCATATAACTGCATTCATTTGGTTATTCTAGGCACTTGGGAAAAGCAGTAAATAAAACAGACAAAATCCCTAGTGTATGTTATATTCCAGTGTGGAGATACATCACAAACAAATAAGTTATAGATTATGTCAGATGAGGATAAATGCTAATGGAGAAGAAGGGGAGAGGGGGACAAAATGTTTTCAAGTATGAATTCAGTGGTTAAGGAAGGCCTCTTTGGAAAGGTGACAGTTGAGTACAGACCTGAAGGAGGTAATCCTATTCCACTCACTCTCTTTCTTTCCTTTTCTTCCTTTCCTTCTTTCTTTCTCTTTCTTTCATTCTTTCCTTCCTTCCTTCCTCCCTCCTTCCTCTTTTTTCTATCTATCTATCTATCTATCTATCTATCTATCTATCTATCTATCTAATCTATCATCTATCATCTATCTATCATCTATCTATCATCATCTATCTACCTACCTACCTACCTACCTACGTACCTACCTACCTACCTACCTACGTACCTACCTACCTACCTACCTACCTACCTACCTACCTACCTACCTGTTTTGAGATGGAGTCTCTCTCTGTCACCCAGGATGGAGTGCAGCAGCACGACCTCAACTCACTTCAACCTCCACCTCTCAAGTTGAAGCCATTTTCTTGCCTCAGCCTCCAGAGTAGCTAGGATCACAGGTGGCCCCCACTATGCCTGGTTAATTTTTGTACTTTTAGTAGAGACTGGGTTTCCCCATGTTGACCAGGCTGGTCTTGAATTCCTGACCTCAAGTGATCCGCCCACCTCATCCTCCCAAAGTGTGGGGATTACAGGCGTGAGCACTGCACCAGTCCTGCCTCATTCTTTTTAAAGGCTCTACTCTACTCCATTGTTTGCCTGTATCATGATATGGGCTTTTGTTACTTCCATAGGTGGGTGTTTTAGATGAATCCTGTTATAGTCTGTTAGATGATCATTTGAACGGTTATAAAAGAGACTTGGGCTTATAGCATAAAGCCTGATGAAATAGAAGGAAACCTAAACTGGGCATGTGAAGCAATGAATGCAAGTCCTAGCTGTACTACGCTTTACACAGGTGACCTTGCTATATCATTGAGTATTTGCGCACTTCCTTTTTTATTTTCCTGTTCTGACCTCATAACAGGGTTTCCATTTTTCTGCCATATCTTCGGTTGTGCTATTGCCCACCAGGCCCAGGGTAATGTCTAGGTGCTTCTTCAGCTGGAGACCTAAGCGACATGCTGCCCACAGCAACATCAGTGCCAAGCTACTTGTAACCCTGCAGAGTCAAATAAAAACTTACAAGCTTTCCACACTCCCCACGAAGGAAGTACCAGCAAAACTTTTAGGGAGCCATCGACCCTTTGGGCTCTGCGCACATTCTCCCCACTTAGGAGGAAAGCATATGAGCTTCCTTAAAACAACCAGAAGCCATACATACATTCTGGTGATATTTATTTTTGCAGATAAAGATGTTTAGCACTGGGCCAAATGACAGAGTGGATTTCACCTTTAACGGAAGATTAATTTGTCCATTTGAGTGATATCTGAGGCAATCCCTGGAATATGCCAGCATTCTGCCTGGCACTGTAGGAGGAGCAAGTGTCAGTGCCATACGGTTCCTGTTCTCTGGTGTTTGTTGAAGGCAATACAGCAGAAATGAAAAGAAAGGGGAGAACGCTATTATCTGGGGTCCCTCAAAGACCCCTCAGAAAGCTATCTGAGCTGGCATGTAAACAGCAGGGAAGTGTTCAAGGGACGGAGGTCCTACAAGGGGACCTGGTAAGGGATAACTATGTGAGGGTAAGAGTGTGTGTCAGGAATGTGTATGAATGGAAGGCCAACAATAATTGCAGTACAAGCAAAGGCCCAGACAAAGGAAAATGTCATGTTGTACAGGAAACCTCAGTAGCCCTGTTTAGCTTAAAGAAAGGATGCGGGGGGTGGGTGTAGACGACGGGAAATGTTGGTGGGAGTCAGACTGGCAGAGGGTCTTGGGTCCTACTTTGTTATGAGATATGAGAAGATAAATGAGTTTTGAAAGATTAAAAAATCACCATCCACTTCTTCCTCTTTTGTTTTTGTTTTATTTGCAGGGGGAGGTGGGAGCATTTAGCATGCTGGTTTTATAATTTCTACTTCTGATTCCAGTAATTTAAAAAAATCTGCGTAGTAGGGTCCAAAGTGGCTCCCACCGGAGGTCATGGCGCTCGCAAAGGCGAGGTCATCAGTTCAAGGCTAACCTCATAAGCTCAAACTGATTGGCAAAAAAAAAAAAAAAAAAAAGAAATCTGCGTAGTATTTATGAAAGTAATATATGCCCACAGTTTAAAAAGGTAAATAGCATTATAAGGCCTATAATCAAAAAGAGTACTCCCGTCCCCCCACTTTACCGACCACTCCCTCTTCCTGCTCCTCAAAGGAAACTACTTTGCTGTTTGCTTTTATTATGAAAAAGCCTTGTTTTCCAGTGTGTGTAACCTCCTATATAGGCTGCAACCAGCTGTTCTTGGTTTGGTTAATCTCTGGTCTTTTCCAGCGCAGGAAAACTAGCACCATCCAGCAAACGTAAGTTGGGAGGTTGAATTTCACCACGGGAGAGGAAACCGCTTTTAACCATCATATTCGCAGCCCTCTACGTAAGTATGGTGTGTATACTGACACTACGTTACCATTTATTATTATTTATTTATTTATTTATTTTTATGGATTGGAGGTTTCAGTCGGACGGGAGAATCACAAGGAATCAGGTGTTCAGAGGAATGTATTGAGTAGAGGTGAGGAACTAGGATGTTGAAAAGTAAAAGAAGGAGAGAAGGAGAGGAAGAAAGAGGAAGAAAAAGAGGGAGAGAGAACAGGAATATTGCTTCATTCTAAAAATGGGTATTAATAATGGCCAATCAGTATTTTGTGTATTTAAAATGGAGAATTCTATAAATATTTATTGAGTTTACTTGTTCCCGATCTGAGTTGAAGTCCTGGATATCCTTATTAATTTTCTGTCTCGTTGAGTCTAAATCTCGTTATGGGTCTTATGTATCTGGGTATTAAGATCTCTTATTGTTGCATTGATCCTTTTACCACTGTATCTTTGTCACTTTGAAATCTATTTTATCAAATGTGAGAATTGCAACTCCTGGTTTTTCTTTATTTATTTATTTTTGCTCTCCATTTGGTTGGTAAATTTTTCTCCAAACCTTTGTTTTGAGTCTTTGTGTATCTTTGGATGTGAAATGGGTCTGGATGTAGCATACCATTAGGTTTTGGCTGTATCTTTTGATTGGGGGATTTAGTCGACTTAAATTTAGGGTTACTGCCATTTGATGTTAACTGGCTATTTTATCCATTCGTTGATGTAAATTCTTCTTTATATTGATACTCTTTACTTTTTGGTATATTTTTAGAAAGGCTAATACTGATTGTTCCTGTCTATGTATAATGCTTCTTTCAGAAGTTCTTGTAAAGCAGGCCTGGTGGTAATAAAATCTCTGAGTACCTGCTTGTTCATAAAAACATTCCCATTTTTTAGAGATTATCTGCCTTACTACTGTGCAAAATAAAGAAAACTTGGCACTCCGATGCTCTCACAGGCTTCCAAGTTTTCTTCCCTGACCTTTCCAGTGGGTTAAATGGCAATTTGGGGTTAAACTGATATTCTAGTTTACCTTACTATGACCATGTAATATTGTTTACTACTGAGACAAGTAGTAAAGAGTTTGTGTTCAATCTTGTCCAACACCTTGTTCTTCCTGGTGTTGTCTTTTATTGTGCTTACCTCTTTTCTGTATCTATCATAAATTGTTCGTGAACTATCCACAAGAACTACAAAACTTATATTAAAACCATTTTTCACGCAATTAGTCCAACTTGTTAGTCTACTGGATCTCTTTTTCCCTGGAGGAGCCTCCCGTCCCATCCCTCTGGTCTAGGGTTTTTCCAGGCCAGCTGCCCACCTGTTGTCCTGGGGCTTCTTTTTAACACCATCTTGCGAAATCCCTGTGCCTCTCTCCTGTGTTGGGGCCCCCGTTTCCTGGATCCCATGGTTTCCTCTTTGTTGGTTTACATCCTCATTTTGTAGAGCACATTCTCTAGTAGCTTCCTGAGAAAAGGTACATGGGAGGTAAATTTGTTGAGACCTTGTGTGTCTGAAAATGTCTTAATTCTACGCTCATACTTGTTTGTGATTAAGCTTGTAACTGAATGCTCGGTGAAATGTGATTTTCCCTCAGAATTTTAGGCTGTGCTTCATTGTATTCTGGCTTCCGGTGCGGCAGCCTCGGGCCGCTACTATTCCTTGTACCACGTATGAACTTTTACATATGACCCGTGTTACTCCTCTGGAAGGTTTTGGAATCTTCTTTTTAATCCTGGTATTCTGAAGTCTCAAAATAAAGAACCATGATGAGCTAATGGTTCTTTTCTTACCTATCATTTTGGGCTCTTTATGGTCTCTTAAAATCTGGAAAATAGCATTGTTCCATTTTGACTATTATTCTTCTACTATTCTTTGTTACTCGTCTCTTAACCATTTTCTTCTTGTTTCTCCTTCTGGCTGCCTATGGCAAAATGTGGAACCTCGTGGATTAATCCACTCCATGTCTTACCTCCACTCACCCCATCTCCATTTAACGTGGTTGGCTGTGTTCCCACTCAAATATCATCTTGAATTGTAGCTCCCATAATTCCCATGTGTTGTGGGAGGAATCCGATGGGAGATACTTGACTCATGGGGGTGGTTTTCCCCACACTGTTATCATGGGAGTGAATAAGTCTCATGAGATCTGATGCTTTTATAAAGGGAGACCCCTTTTGCTTGCTTCTCATTGTCTCTTTGCCTGCCACCATGTAAGATGTGACTTTGTTCTTTGCTTGCCTTCCACTATGATTGTGAGATCTCCCAGTCATGTGAAACTGTGATTCCATTAAACCTCTTTTTAAAAATAAATTACCCCATCTCGGGTGTGTCTGTATCAGCAGCGTGAAAATGTTTGGACTATCTACTTTCTACAAAGTTTGACTTCTATACCTTTGAATCATTTACATTGTTCTATAAGTTTAATTTCCAATACCTCCTTATTTTCTAATTGTTCCTGTTTTATATAATATTTTTTATTTTATAGATATAACAGTGTCTCTCATCTTTCTGAAGTTACTATAAAAAGCTTTTCATTTGCTTTTCAAAAGCTTTTTTATTCTTTCTTTGTTTTTTTTAGAGATGGGTTTCACCATATTGTTCCATCTGGTCTTGAACTCCGGACCTCAGGTGATCCACCCACCTCAGCTTCCCAAAGTGCTGGGATTACAGGCATGAGCCACCGAACCCAGCCTCAAAAGCTTTTAAAAAATCTTTTCAATTGTTTCCTGAAATATCTGTATCTTCTCTGAGCCCCTTTAGTCCCTTTCTCTGTTTTGATCTCTATATGTTAATCTACATTTTATGTGAGTAGATATTCTCAAATATCTGGTGGCCCTTTATTACTCATTTATATTTAAGAAATATATATGTTTATTTTACATATATACATTATATATGAAACAAACAATTCATTTGTATTTAAAAACAGTGGGTCTAACTTCCCAGGGAAACCCTGAGTGTAGAAAGGGTGTGGTTTTTCCTTGACTGACATCCCTCTGAGGTAACAGAGTGGGGAATCTAAACATTTCAATGGGGACTCTGCCAATCAGTCATTTTTTGGACTAAGTTTCTGCAGATAAGAATCCCTAAACCCCTGTCTAAGGAGGCAGTCCCTAGATGTGGGTTTCCTGGAGCTATGTCAGGGAAATAGTCCAGGAGGGTTTCACCTGTTCTCTCTGTGGAGTTTCTCCTCTCTTTTGGAGTCCAGAGTATCTCTGATTCAACGTAGCCCATCCCCAATGCCTCACATAGGGATAGGGGAACCGGTAGTGGCAGTGTGAGCGAGGGAGGGCAAAGCTAATACTCCATATACTATGCTGCTCTGAAACTCCCGGCAATCAATCCCCCTTCTTCCAGTCTCATGACTCCTAAGCCTCTGCAGTGTCCCATGCGTGAATCTGAAGGCTTGACTCAGGGAACCTCAGCTTTTCTTCCTCTTTCACTCTGCCGTCTTCCACAGGTTGGCTGGTATCTCACGTGCAGTAGCATCTCCTCTGTTTGTTTTCTCTCGTTTGCTCTGTATCCCTGCTTTATAGTTTAACTTCTTTACTAATTTTAGTGAGATTTATTTTTTATTCTTTACTAATTTTAGAGAGAGTAATTTTAGTGAGATTTCTGGAACAGGAAGATATGAAAGCATGTGTTCGATCTAATAAAACCAGAAGCTTCTAGTGTTAGACATTTCACTTCATAGTTATATGTATTTTGTTCTGGTCTAGTTTGTCCAGAGAACTGTGTGTGTTTCCTGAAACAACTACTAACCATCTCATGACTACTTTTAAGGAGGTATTCACAGAATCATTTTCCTTCTCTGCTATTTTTTAGGGATTATCAAGCAAAGTCAAGTTGACTTTCTATACATGTTACCTTTATCAAGATAACAGCAGTTTGTTATCTTGGCTCCAGAAGTTTGGACAAATAATCAATTTGAGGTAGATGCACATCAATTTATCAATAAGGAAGGAAGGACATAAGGAAGGAGGAAGGAAGGAAGGACAAAGAGAACAGCAGGAAGACTGGCCCATCTAAATAACTATACTAAGAAAAGCTATGTACATTCACTAAATAAGAAGACAAATTTCATAAAATCATCTGGCTTTAAGATAACTCCAAACAATGATCACTGATTTGGAACGCAGTTGAGCAATTTATACCATTGAATGTTAATGGTCAAACTCCATTTTATCATTCAATAAAAATATACCCAAATGCATATGAAAAGCAGTATAGCCTGCAACAAAACCTATTATACAATAAATTCTCACAATTACATGTCCAGATTAGCTTTTAACTATATACTGATTCCTATCGCTCTGAAATGTATCTATTTTTTGGCTCAAGAAGGTTTGCGTATATGTATGCACCAAGGTATAGATGCGTGTATTCCTCCCGTCATCCCCCAAAGAAATTTAAGTCAGCTTGTCGGCAATCCTTTAACTTGAACATATGTTCATCTTCCTGAGTATATTTCTTACAAATGTGTCTACTTCAAATTATGTAGTCCTCCATTCTTTGTCATACTCAATTATGGAGGAATAACTTTCTTAAAAAAGTTAACTATGTTATTGACAGTATCACTTCCAGTCTCTCCATTCTTTGTCATACTCAATTATGGAGCAATAACTTCCTTAAAAAAGTTAACTATGCTATCGACAATATCACTTCCAGTGTAGCTGTCATCATATCTTTGAGTTTAACAAGATGTTCAACTTTCAGTCAGATTGACCTTGTTTTCAATCTCCAGTCGCCTGTGTACTAAATAAACTCCCCAACAGGAAAATGGACATATTCTCTGTTTTGCAGGATTTTATGAGAATTAAATCATACAATGCATAAAAAGAACCTGGCATACTGTAGGTACCCAATTTTTAAAAAGCTATTGAAATCAGAATATGAGATGATCTTGAAACCTTAAACTGTCTAAAAGTACATCTTTTCCAAGTGACTAGTTTTTCATTTCCATTTTTTGGCATCCCGTCATCGGTAACCTGGGATCCTGGAAGCAACACATCAGTCATCCACTGCAAAGGGGTGTGCAGAGCTTTTACAGAAAACGAGGAAAAAAATATAAAAGTAGAGGAAAAGGAGGTCTGGACAGAAACAATAAAAGAAAGTATGTGACCCAGGATCACACAGAGTTCCGTGGTTAGACGGTTCTGAGACACGACTCGATCATACAGAGCTCCGCGGTTAGACGGTTCTGAGACACGCCTTGATCATACAGAGCTCTGTGGTCAGACGGTTCTGAGACACGCCTTGATCATACAGAGTTCCGTGGTTAGACGGTTCTGAGACACGCCTTGATCATACAGAGTTCCGTGGTTAGACGGTTCTGAGACATGCCTCGATCATACAGAGTTCTGTGGTCAGACGGTTCTGAGACACGCCTAGATCATACAGAGCTCTGTGGTTAGACGGTTCTGAGACACGCCTTGATCATACAGAGCTCCGCGGTTAGACGGTTCTGAGACACGCCTCGATCATACAGAGCTCTGTGGTTAGACGGTTCTGAGACACGCCTCGATCATACAGAGTTCTGTGGTTAGACGGTTCTGAGACACGCCTCGATCATACAGAGCTCCGCGGTTAGACAGTTGTGAGACACACCTCGATCATACAGAGCTCTGTGGTTAGACGGTTCTGAGACACGCCTCGATCATACAGAGCTCCGCGGTTAGACAGTTGTGAGACACACCTCGATCATACAGAGCTCTGTGGTTAGACGGTTCTGAGACACGCCTCGATCATACAGAGTTCTGTGGTTAGACGGTTCTGAGACACGCCTCGATCATACAGAGCTCTGTGGTTAGACGGTTCTGAGACACGCCTCGATCATACAGAGTTCTGTGGTTAGACGGTTCTGAGACACGCCTCGATCATACAGAGCTCCGCGGTTAGACGGTTGTGAGACACACCTCGATCATACAGAGCTCTGTGGTTAGACGGTTCTGAAAAGGATGTGTAGTAGGAAAAAGTCAAAGATCCTACCGCAAAATGATCTAGGAGCCACACGTTAGTTCTGTCAGTAACCTTCCATGCAGCTGTCAATAACCCTTTGTTTTCTTCTTTGTAAAAATAACTATGCTCGGCTGGGCGCAGTGGCTCATGCCTGTAATCCCAGCACTTTGGGAGGCCGAGGGAGGCAGATCACGAGGTCAGAGTTTGAGACCAGCCTGACCAATGTGGTGAAACCCGGTCTCTACTAAAACTACAAAACAGATTGGCTGGACATGGTGGTGCGCATCTGTAGTCCCAGCTATTTGGGAGGCTGAAGCAGGAAAGTTGTTTGAACCCGGGAGGCAGAGGTTGCAGTGAGCTGAGATTGTGCCACTGCACTTCAGCCTGGGCAACAGAACAAGATTCCATCTCAAAAACAAAATGAAACAAAACAAAAAACTATATTCAAGGAACATACTGTCTAATTATATTTACAAGTTTGGGATTTTTGCTCCATGCCTTCTTAT